GGTTGCCTACAAATGCTAGGGACTAGGTTTGATAGCTCAGGAAACCCCTTCCGGTGCTGTGTTCCTATGTTCCTCATCAGGCTACTGAGATAGGAGTAAAACCACCCCAGGGCAAGAATAGTTTCCAAAGCCCCAATAGCGTCCTATGACGTTTCTTGGCAGGATCAACAAGAAGTAGATTTCTCAGCTGCATCCCTCCACCATGCTGGTCCTTTCCCCATCCCAAACCACAGCCTAGAACAATCAGAGCATGAATGGACTGTTTACCCCCCTTCATTCCTTCTCCAAGTGATGCCTGGGGAGCAAAAGATTACACTAGTTGTACTGTCACAGGAACAGCTACGACTGTTGTAAAGAGAAAGGGGAAATTTGGTGCTCTTTGTGGTCCGAAGGACAAATAAAAAGACATGTGATCTATGTAGATTTGGGCTCCAATGAAGGAGATTCAGAATCAACTCGATTTTCCAGGAGGCTGCAAGAATTTTTGCTGCATGAAGGATGCAAAAGCAGAAAACATCCACAAACAGTGTGTTGGGTGTAATCTAAAACAATAATAATATAACTGTATGATAAGCAGACTCTTTGGGGTTGTGCAGACTTAAAACAGATAGAGCAAACGCAGCCCTCAGAGTATCAAAACTTTCTGCCCAGACGCTTCAACGAGATGACTCATTCTGCAGGGGTAGGCTGGAATGGTTAGCAGTGCTGGAGAGACCCCTCGTGGTAGACCTCTCATTTACAGACCAACGTGCTAAAAATTGTGGCATCATTTTCCTATATTTTGCAGAATGAAGACAGACACAGATAGCTTATGATTCTTTTGGTTGCTTGTGTTTCCAGACATATCCCAGATGATCTTTATCATTCTAAAAAAAAAAAAGAAACCTCCGTGAGTCAGAGTCTCCTCTCAGACCAGTGTAAATCAAGAATAACTCCACCCAAGTCTGTGGAGTTACAGTAAGAAAGTCGAGCTCTTTGATTTTTGGATGATTGGCTACACAGTCCGTTATGAACCTGTGTTACTTTGCATCATATTGTAGTGCATCACTGTTGTGAAATGACGCGGTGCGAGTTATTACACATCAAAAAGAAAATCAATCTTTTGATTAGGTGTCTCCAGATGACATTTATAGCAGATCAAGAATTAATTCAGCAAAAGTGAGTATTTGAAATTTTAATTGCCTTGGTCGGTGAATAATTCTGCATATGTGCACTACAGATATAAAATAACTGAGGTTGTTTTATTTTTCCTTACAGATGGTCTCCTTCATCTACAATGCAATTTCAGTAAGGAAATTTATTTCTGATTGAGAGCGAGAGTCATAAATAGAAACCTATTATCTGCAGTGATGATAGGAGAAGGGCCTTCTGTTAAAATGATCAAGAATGAGGAGAGAAAAGGCCTAATGTTGCAATTAACTTCAGTTTGCGACCTGTCAAAAGCCTCCTACTTCATGAGAAATTCTCCACTGTGTAAAGGGAGGATGGGTGGAGGAGATACTATTTGAAAATCTAATTCAAAGCACATGCTGCCCTCAGATAACACAGCAAGAGGTAATCTGGTTCTACAGGTAAATATCCTTTCAAGAGATTCAGAACTGAGCCATGATTAAGCTAAACAGAGCATATAATTTCATGAATTATCCACATTTCCACTCATGATTCAGTAGTGAGGCTGCTTTATCTAATTCCACAACCAGAGGTAAATAAATGCCTGTGAACTTCTCTCATACAGATCCTTTGTTGTTTCAGTTATTTATTTTTAAAGGAAATTTAGTGCTCAAGAATGGTGCTAGGACTGACAGCTTTGAAGACCTCTAGTTATTCATAAAGCGCTTGCTACAGGGTCAGTGGAGCATATGTTCCCCCCTCCTATGCACCAGTTTGCTTTTGTCCTCAGTCTGTGTCGCTGTTGTGGACACCTGTCCACTAGGAACTGAGACTCATCAACTCATTTAACATAGGCTGTTGAGCAGCTATTACTTGATAATGATTTTTTGTTTAGGAGACTGACATGGGCTAGATACAAATTGGTTACCTGGAGCTGAAATGTTCCATATCACATTATCAACCCCTCAGAGAGATCCATTCCTCTCAACTAAAGAATTTTCCTATTGCTATCAAAAGTATAGCAGAAAAAAAAGGACACAGCCACTAAAAACTGTCCAGTGTTTAATAGCCAATAAACATTGATTTAAATTATTGTTACCTGTAAAACACCCAAATGGAGACTTGTTTTGATGCAGCAACCTGACTATAGAAGCAGCAGTAATAGTAATCTTAGTAATGTTCAGATACGGATCTCAAATTGCTTTTCAGAGCTCAGTAAATATTTTCTCCCACATTTTAAAGACAGAGAAATTAAGGCACAGAGGAATTAACACTCAAAATGGTGATTCTGCCCTGAAAACTCAAACTCTAAGTGTGTGCTCAGGTCGGGATGAACTCAAAAATTATGCTGTAAATGTAAAGAATGACATTATTTTCAATTGCCCATGCACCAGGCATTTAATGGACATTTTTGGAAAGTTTGGGCATTGCCCAAGGTTACACATTATGTCAGTTTTAAAGCTTAGATTATATCCCAGACTTCCTGATTCTACTCGAGTGCCCTGCCTCCTATATGACACTGCCTCCTTATCTTCTTATTGCACCCTTATTCTATGAAGACAGTCTTCTATTGTGAACTTGAGCTGGTGATGCGCAAGAGCCTGTATACCTAATAAGCACACTGAAGCAAAACTTAGGTAAGGTTAGTCTGACCCCGTACTGTTCAAAAGTTGACTACCACGACAAGAAAGCATAAAACAAGCAATGACACCAAACAAGATCTACAATATGTAGATTGTGTTTAAATGAGTTCTCCCTATGCAGGGGCTGCAGTAATTACATTTTTATGAGGGAGTAAATGTTTAATAACATTGTTTAATAGTGCGTCATAGGCTGGTAAAACCCGCTTTAGAGACTGCACGTCCTATTGCTGCTTCAGTTCTTTTCAGC